AAACTTTTGTCTTCCGAGCCCCCTACTTACATTCTGATTTCATAAAGGGGCAGCTTAGACTTTTTTAAATTTTATTTTGCCATTCGCCTAAACTTCTAGGTGTCGAAAATTCAGAAATTAAAATTCTGCAGTGCCTTGCTGGAATCTGTTACAAAATGTGATAATTCCAATGTTATGTCAGTATGCGTTTTTAAGACATTTGAAAGCCTTAAAAATTCGCCAAATAACTTACAGAACGAAATTAATTCCGGATTTTAGAGTGGAAGTCAGAAGTGCCTTTCGTCGACAATACGCAATTCCGAATAGGCTTTTCGGTTCCATGCCAACAAGTATGATAAATGGGCATTCGGCCACACATGCGCTGGCCGAAAATTCAGACTACACCCATACACACTCACTCACTCTCACGATATACAGCTGTGGGCAGCCTATAATGAACGTTTGGAACAGGCCACTTCAGACTGACAGAGTTGCCACCTAGTGTAGCAATCTTACAGACTGATAACAGCCCATAAAGTTTCTGGGATAGTTGCATCTGAAAGAAGTAGTCTCTTTCAGTGCTTCAGGAAGGGTCGCGTGAAAAGGAACAGCTCCGAGGGTTCATTTCACCTGTTCTATACAGAGATTTTATTCCCTCCACTTAGACCGTGGTTTATTTTCTGAAAAGAAGTAAGTCACTTTTCGACACAGAGTGTCGTGTGTTGGCAGCCCGTAACTACAAACCCAGAAATTCAAGCAATTCTTTGTCTTGTGAAACAGTATATAAGTAGAAATAAATGAGAACCGAATTGTTTCAACTTGTAAGCGTCTAGTAGTAAATACCGAAATTACGTCAGAACGTTGTGCGAGCAAAAGTGCACTATAGTGACTAGTCAACACACACTTGATATATTGAAATTTAACTGGAAACTAATTGAATAAAAATTTACTTGGATATTATCCATCGTCTAGTAATAAAACGTAAAACGACGTTTCGGAGATGAGGCTCTATCTCCGTCTTCAGGTTCCTACTCAGTTGGGCCCACTAGATAGAGCTAATCCCT